AACATTTAACTTTAAGCATTAAGTTGACCGCCTGACTATTTCGATTCTATGTTGCTCGGACCCTAAAAAATGTGGTCGTCATACATGTGTCAGATTCTTCAAAAGTTCATTGCTTTAGAAAGGACCAACATAAACTCGACAATCATTACAAAAAAAACTGAAATTTGCTATGAAATTTGTTGCTAAATAGCTCATATCTAGCACAATTTTTTGATAATATGTAGTGACGGATATTGTTGTTTAGCTACAAAAAAATTCCACTACTAATCCATGTATTCTTAGTAGTAAATATCTTTTAAGAGTCCAAGCAACATAATTTTTAGTTTAGTATAAAATATTTTATGATAACAAATACCATAACATGCAACTATCATTATATATATACATAGATGTGTGTCTGTGTGTGCAAGACATTACCTCTTCATTACATTCCATGGCGATGTTGAAATTCTTCTCCTTCTCAAGCTTACTAATTTTAAGTCAATGGATGTTAGGTGATAACTTGTTGCCCAAATAAATTTCAGCAGCTTCATAAATTTCGTTGTTGACAAGGCCATCAAATTCGGCAATCACCATCGTTAGCTGATTCGAGAACTTAGTGAACATGTTTTTGAATCCAAAGAAGAGATATTCATGGAGTTCCAAGGGGTTGTAGTCGTGGATTATCGAATGAACCAATATGGTTGTCACAACAATAGAGCCTACTGTTGATAAAACAATCTTGGCCAAGGCCATTTTCGATTCTGCTGATGAAGAGGACATAATTTTTAAGGGTTTTTTGGCTAGTGGATATTAGTGTTATGCACCAAATGTGTAAATAAAAATAGTAACCTATATATTGATGCAATTTCCATTGAGGAAAATGATAAATTTATAGTAAAATCATGTGAAGAAAGAAAAACAAATAAAGTGAGAAATTGTCCAAAGTAGATAGGAAAAATTGTACTAAGACTAACATTAATAGTAATAGTTGGTATTGACTATGACTTTGAAACTTTCCTTAAATAAGGGACAGCTACCCTTTGGGTGCGCACAGGGTAAAACCTCCGCTACTATGCAATTGCTCGCAAACAACATAGGAGAGGTAACCCGCACTAGGCAACCCAGTGCGACGAGCTCGACCAGAAGGCAAATCCCTTACTTACGCTGGCAAGGGGTTTCGAACTTGAGACCTCCAACATAGAAGTCCCAAGCCCAAACCACTAGGCCACCCTGAAGGGTACTTTCATATAAGCATAGTGTACTCCACTATAGTTGGAGATTCCACAAAATCCAAATTTTATTTCTAGTACTTTGAGCTTCGTTTGCTTGCCATTCCCATCCTTGGGCAATCTTCTTTATAGCATTGCTGACTTTATTCTCTTTCACCTTGTGTTCCAATATTGCTATGAAACTCACCTTATTTCCCCTATTGAACTCCTTCAAGCAGATAAGAAGGTAGTCCAATGCAGGAAAGATCTAACTGATCATCAAGAACAAATGAGGGATCATAGGCACGACCCTATATTGTTTGAGCAGGAAAAGTCATTGAAATTGAAACTAGAAAAATGGAGCATGATTGAGGAGAGCATAAATAGGCTGAAATCTAGAGTCCGGTGGCTCCAATTAGAGGATTCTAATTCTGCTTATTTCTTTGCAAATATGAAGAATAGAGGAGCTCAACAAGGCAGACTTACGTTTAGCGAAGGGGTGTCAAGCGACACGCTTCGTCGAAAAATTTACAAAATATATATATATATATTAATACTATGTATAAAGCTATATGTAAAACAAAATGATGTTACTTGATACGAATAAACTAATTGCATGTTGGTTCACCGTCTGCTTTTGGTGTTTGAAGTCGGGGGTTCAAACCTCAAACTAAGCTTTGTTTTGAAAAATACAATATACTCATAAAAAAAAATTATGGTCGAGTAGTATTGAACCCAAGACCTCTTCTAGCTTAAAACTAATCTAAACCAATGAGTCAAGGATGTCAGTTTCTGCAAGTCACTCTTGCTTTCTACAAGTTCACTCTTGCTCTAGGCATAACACTAGAGCAAAATCTTGAAGAATTAGTAGACTTTTATGGAAATAAATCTAGATTAAATTTAGATACATTCATAAATTCAATAAATATCAAACCCAAATCAAGATTAAATTTTTTTAATTCCAAGATTTGGATTTAAAGCGGAGTCCAATTTCACATGAGCTAGTCCATTGAGTTGGTCTTCAAATAATGAGCCCGCTCAATTACGCCAAGGCCCATGCCACATGTCAAATGACATGACGCATCAAGTCAAATAAAGGACAAATAAAATGATGTCACGTATTAAAATGATGTGGCACTCCTAGTCATATTAAACACCAATCAAAGGCAAACAAATGTTCTAAATTGACATGTCTTGGCCAATTAAATGTGACCTCATCAAATGAGCCAATCAAAATCAAGCAAGAGAGTTAAGCTACACTTAAATAGTCTACCTTCTACAACTATAAATAGGGGTGTTACATACCTCTCAAGGGAGACACTCAAAAGAATTGGGAGAAGGCATCCGTAACCAGCAGATCATCTAAAGAAGAGGAGAGAACTACATACATCTCTCTAGAGGCGATCTACAAGTTCTTCATCTCTGATGGTGATCCATAAGTTTCTATAACTCCATATGTGTGATCAAAGTCTAGCTCTATATTCTTACAAAATTTTAAATAACAAATGATTCATCAACTCAAGAACAAGCAAAAACCTTGAGTTGATGGTCGTGATCAGTGTTGTGAAAGGCGATCGCCTCGTCACCAATGGCGAGAGGCGAGGCGATCTTCAAAATCCTTTTAGCTTTGTGGCGAGGCGATCTTCAAAATGCGATGCCATGATGACAAAAGGCGAGAGGCAAGAGGCGAGAAAGGTGTCACCATTTGTATTTTCCTAAAAAAAGGCGAACAATTTAGGATTTCAAAAGTTAAAAGGTAATTTTAGGGTTTTCGACCAGACTCCTCCGGTGACTAGCCAGACTTTTCCGGCGACTCCAAAGTCTAACCAATACATATTTCTTCTTTTCATCTTCATATTTCTTCGTCCTCTATTTCTTTTTCCTTCTTCTTTAGACTTTAAAATCACTTCTACCTTTGTTTTGACTTTTGTTATGTTTTTTTCTCATTCAAGTTCTATTTTAGTATGTGTTATCTATTTTCAGTTTTTGAATTGACATATTTGCTAATATGTTATTGTTATTGAGATTTTGATTATTCACATATGCAATTAAATATTTTAATTTTTTAGTATTAAATGGTGCCGCACTTTAAAAAGGCGAGCACCTCGCCGCTCGCCTCGCCTTGTGGCGAGGCAGACTCTTGTCGCCTTTTAGCGTCTTTCGCCATCCAAAATACTGGTCATGATGATAACAATAAAAGGATTACGTCTTTATATTTAAGATTTCATAAAGATTGTGATCCACGCACATTATTGAAATCAAATATTAAATATTTGTCGCTATTTTTTTGTCTTGATTATTACATTTTCAGGAATAAAAATTTACTTGTTACACACCCACTAGCCAAAAAGCCCTTAAGAAGCATGCCCTCTTCATCAGCAGAATCGAAAATAACCCTTGCCAAGACAGATTTATCGAGAGTAGGCTCAGTTGCTGCAACAGTCATGTTGGTTCATACGATAATCCACAACTACATCCCCAAGGAACTGCATGCATATCTCTTCTTTGGACTCAAAAACATGTTCACCAAGTTCTCAAATCAGCTAACGATGGTGATTGACGAATTTGATGGCCTCGTCAACAACAAAATTTATGAAGCTGCAGCGACTTATTTGGCCAACAAGTTGTCCCCTCAAATCCATAGACTTAAAATCAGTAAGACCGAGAAGGAGAAAATTTTTAACATCGCCATGGAACGTAATGAGGAGGTAATTATTTGCACACACAAACACACATCTATATATATAATGATAATTGCGCCCCCAAGGCCTAGCTCAAGTGGCAAAAGGTGGAGGATCTGTGACTTAGGTCGCAGGTTCAAGCCCCACACCATGCAAAGCGAAGCCCGGTATTTAAGTGGAGAAGGGTAGAGGGGCGGGCCCATTATCCACCGAGTTTGGAAGGCTGTGATTGGTCCAAAGGGCGGGTCACAGACGGATTTCTCGGTTATCAAAAAAAAAATAAAAAAATAATGATAATTGCATGTTATATTATTTGTTATAATAAAAGTTTTAGATCAAACTAAAAGTTATGTTGCTTGGACTCTAAAAAGATACTTACTACTAAGAATATATGGATTAGTGGTGGACAAATTTTGTAGCTTAACAACAATATATGTCACCACAGATTATCCAAAACTTGTGTTAGCTATGAGCTATTTAGCAACGAATAAGCAATAAAATTTGTAGCAAATTTCAGTTTTTTTGTAGTGATTGTCGAGTGAAAATATTGGATCCTTCTAATGCTATGCACTTTTGGAGAATCTGACACGTATATAACCACAATTTTTAGGGTCCGAGCAACATAGAATACAAGTAATTAGGTAGTCAACTTAATGCAAAAAGTTAAGTGTTCGTAAGAAAAATCATAAAGTATGTGTTTTTATGTGTAGATATGCTGATACAACTTCTAATTTAATGATAAACCAAACAAAATAGAAACAAACAAACTATTTGTAATTATAAATAGGGTTATGGTCTCCAGATTAGACATATGAAATTTTTTCTAACCGTCCACCATTAGAAAAGTGAATATCACTTCCCTTAAAATTCACGTCTTGATTTGAAAAATTGTTCTATATGCATGGGTACTCAGGTAAGCTTCCACATTTAATTTGCCTTCGTAATAATTTAACATAATAAATCTTTTGAAGATGATGCTATTTTCTAATCTTAAGGTTTTATTCCAGCAGGTGATAGATGTTTATAATGGACAGTCATTCAAGTGGATTTGGCTCTGTAGACAAGTAGAGTCTAAACACTTCTACAACCCCAGAGACATGGATTCGGCTTAGAAATTTGTAATAAGATCCTTTGAGTTAACATTTCACAAGAAAAACAAGGAAAGATGATTTGTTTACATAACATGTGGAAGTCGGTGAATTTTAATTATCCCACCACTTTTGAGACAATGACCAGAAAGACATGATCTTGAAGGATTTGGAGAGATTCATGACGAGGAAAGAGTATTACAGGAAAGTAGGGAAGGCATGGAAAAGAGGGTATTTGTTGTTTGGTCCTCCGGGACGGGGAAATCTAGTTTGATAGCTGCAATAGCGAATTATTTAAACGTCGATTTATATGATTTGGAGTTGACTGCAGTGACGAGGAATTCAGATTTAAGGAAGTTGTTGGTTGCCACAACCAATAAGTCAATTTTGGTGATTGAGGACATTGATTGTACCATTAACTTGAAAGCTAATTTGATTAATCGAGCTATGTATGTTCGTTCAAATGATTTTCATCAGTCCGAAAGCACAGTAAATTAGTCTTATATTTTCTGTTTCCTATCTTTACTATTCCTCTTTTTGTGCAGTATTTCGACATGACAAGAGTATGAAGGGGTTCTGAACAATTGTTCTAATGCATCCTTGCCTACGGATTAGTCGATATTTTTTTACAAATTCTACTGACATGGAACCACAATAATTTCACCCTCCATTAATTTGTGATATTCTTGAATAAATTAAGTGTCAATTATCGGGAATATTTGGATTTGGTATTAGTGTAGTGTGTTGTGTGTAATACTTCACCTTTACTAATATATTTTTTTTATTGCAGATCACCTTGTCAGGTTTACTAAATTTTATTGACGAGCTATGGAAATGAAAGAATCATAATTTTTACAACTAATCACATAGAAAAACTCGACCCTGTACTGCTGCGACGACCTGGCAGAATGGACGTGCACATTCACATGGCATATTGCACACCGTGTGGCTTCAAACTTCTTGCTGCCAATTACTTGGGGATTAAAGATCATAAATTTTTCAAAGAAATTGAGGAATTGATTGACATAGCCAATGTGACACCAGCAGAAGTAGCAGAGCAGTTGTTGAAGGAACATGAAGTTGGAGATTCACTTAAAGGGTTGATTAATTTTCTTCACAAAAAGATGAAAGAGAAGGAAGAGGACAAGGCTAAGAAAGTGGAAATAACTCAAGTGAAGTCTGTTGATGAGAAGAAAGAAAGTAATGGAAATGGGATCTAAGATGAGGAGGAAGAATCCATATCACTTAATCAATGATTAGAAGATGGTTTATATAATTTTGTATTCGTTAATCTGATGTAAACGATCAAGTAGTATGTCCCCCTTAAGAGTACTATTATATTGATTGAAGAACAAACAGAATTAGCTGGAATTTCGTATTGCTATTATTGTATTTGGTTTATGCGTAGTTCAGATGAGAAAATGATCTCTCAGTCCATTTAAAATTTGAATAGGAGAAAATAATTCTACAACGATTTCCTACATTTTATTTACAACACACGGACTGAGATGACTAAACAAGCTATATAATAAATTTGTCCTAAAATAGGGAAAAGCAATGATCTGAATAAGTTGATGTACCTCATCAGATCACAATGCCAATGCTAATCAACATGCAACATCTCCGTTTTGTCTCTAACTTTTGAGATTCCTTCAAATTGAAAGAGAAATATATGAAGATTTCTCCCAATCAAATAATGCAGTTTCAATGGTTTGGTATATTCCAGAAAATGAAATTAGCAAGTTCCAATTCATCAACTACAATCTCATCCTTAACAACTTAACTATAATCAGAAAACAGAAACCATACCAATAGTTGGAGTGGTTAGTTGTCACGTTCTCTAATATAAAACAACAAAAATAACATACCCAGTGTAGTTCCCATATGGTGGGGTGTGGGCAGGGAAGAGTGTACCCAGACCTTGCCCCTACCTCATAGGAATAGAGAGACTGTTTCTAAAAACCTCCCAGCTCATGAGGTAACTCATATTAAAGAACATAAGGAAGAAGTTCTCTAATATACTAATCCTTATTTTTTTTCTAATAAATGATATATAAATTTACTCTTACCCGGCCTCCAAAGCCTAGCTCGAGTGGCAAAAGGTGGAGGAATTGTGACTTAGGTCACAGGTTCAAACCCCACACCATGCAAAACGAAGCCCAGTATTTAAGTGGAGAAGGGTAGAGGGGCGGACTCATTATCCACCGAGTTTAGAAGGCCGTGATTGATTCAAAGGGCGGGTCACAGACAGATTTCTTGGTTATCAAAAAAAAAAATTACTCTTACCTGTTGTGAATGGACTGATTTGGATTTGGAAACTATATAGATTTCAAATGCTTAGATCCCGGGCGGTAAAACGGTTGCTTTGAATAGTAGGAAAATCAATGAATCAACTATATCTCAATCTAAGCACTTCAAAAATGACTTCAGATTGAAGTCTTTTACACCAAGCGCTAAAACCTCAATACAGAATGATAATTATTTTATTCTCATATGTTGATTGTATTTCTGCTCTTCTGTTGTAGAAAGTTTCAAACTTTGATTACTAATATTCCTTTTTTGTGGAGTTAATGGTAAAAAAAGAACACCTAAACCATCACTTTTTTGTAAGTTTCACACCTCAATCATCAATGGTTCTCTTTACTTATCTAAACTATCCATCCTTTTATCAAAACACACATCGATATTGAGATAACCAAATATTAACTTGTTCCCCGTGAAGGCTAACTTAACATCCATGAGTATTTTAGTACAAACTGACTGATAGTTGAAGCACGAAACTCACAAAAAGGTGATAGGTTAGGTAGGTATATAGAACAATAAATAGTTGAACAAAGAAACAAGAGATTGAAGTTAGGGCTATCATTACGCAGAGTCAAAGCACTGTAACTCAATTTACAGATCATATAAATTAGGGGAAAATTACCTCACTCAAAATTAGTCGGCCGGAAAATCAATTAGCTGAACGGGGCCAAATCGGACAATAATGGATGCCGCCGATTCCGTGCATTTCATTAATCAATTTGCTGGTGCTGCCGGTTTGATGACGAATTCGCCGCCGGTGGAGAAAACTATTTGGGTTTACAGTCTGATTTTTGAGTACCAATAGTTAAATTTTGAAACTTTCTGATAGAGGACATTTAAGTAAAAATATTTATTATAATTGAGTAAACGTATATAATAACACTAGTACGTATTTTATTTATATAAAATAGTGCGAATATAAAGTAATATTCTCAAGGGGACATACAACTTAGTCGTTTAATTCAGATTAATTAATACGTACAAAATTATATAAACTATCTTCTAATCATATGATTAAGTGATAGGGATTCTCACAGCATAGTTCTCGTATAATATTGTACAATTTACCAGATATATTTTTTTATTATTTATATAGATCAAATGAGGCGCTACACCGCGTGAAATTGGATCAGACAAACTGTTTTTTATGTGGATTTAAGTACTTTCCCCATTTGGTAAGTCCTTTTCTTCCTCTTTTTCTTTAATCTCATTTTCAACATTTTCCTCCTCCTCATCAACAGATTCCACTTGTGTTAATTCCACTTTCTTAGCCTTAACCTCTTCATTCTCTTTTATCTTTTTGTAAAGAAAATTAATCAACCCTTGAAGGGAATTCTCAACTTCATCTTCCTTCAACAATTGCTCTGCCACTTCTGCTGGGGTCACATTGGCTATGTCAATCAATTCCTCAATTTCTTTGAACAATTTATGATCTTTAATCCCTAAGTAATTGGCAGCAAGAAGTTTGAAGCCACAAGGTGTGCAATATGCCATGTGAATGTGCATGTCCATTCTACCAGGTCGCAACAATGCAGGGTCGAGTTTCTCTATGTGATTTGTCGTGAAAATTATGATTCTTTCGTCTCCACAACTCGACCATAATCCATCAATAAAATTCAGTAAACCTGATAATGTCACCTACAAAACAAAATGGCGTAGTCACGGAAAGTATAACGATACACTAATACCAAATCCAAATGTCATACTACCCCATAAATTAAAATGACAGAATACACAACCAGACATTTAAGTTTGACCTCAGCTGATAAGTAAACGCTCCAACTTTGAATATGCAAATCTAGACACCTCACCTCTTCTCCGATGTGTAGGTTGAACACTCCAACTTTGAATATGCAAATCTAGACACCTCAACTCTTCTCCCATGTGTAGGCTGAACACTCCAACTTTGAATGTGCAAATCTAGACACCTCAACTCTTCTCCCATGTGTAGGCTGAACACTCCAACTTACACCGTCATCATCTAGACACCTCCAAATTTATGTGTCACATCAGCATTGGGTGTCCATGAGACGCAGTAGAGACGAGTTGGAGTGTCTAGATGTGCACTACCAAAGTTGAAGTGCTTCCTTGCCAATTGAGGTGAAATTTGAGTGTATGCTTATGTATTACACTATTTAACTAAAATACATAGCCCTAACTTTTTATTGTGTCTACAACTTGTAGGAATAGTAAGGAAATGGAAAATAGAAGACTAATTTACCTTGGTTTCTTTCATACCAAAACCATTAATTGAATGAACAGTAGCTCGGTTAGCCAAGTTATCTTGCAATTCAATGGTACAATCAATGTCCTCCACCACCAAAATGGACTTATTGGCTGTGGCAACCAACAACCTCCGTAACTCCATGTTCCCCCTCAGCGAAGTCAACTCCAAATCATATATATCAAAGTTCAAATAATTCGCCATTGCAGCAATCAAACTAGATTTTCCGGTCCCTGGAGGACCAAACAACAAATACCCTCTTTTCCATGCCTTGCCAACTTTCCTATAATAATCTTTCCTCTTCACGAATCTCTCCAAATCTTTCAAGATCATGTCTTTTTGATCTGATTCCATCGCGATTGTCTCAAAAGTGGCTGGATGATTAAGATTCACTGGCTTCCACATTTCGTGTAAATTGTACATTCTCTCGCAATCCACAGTGTGAATCTTGATCGTCTTGTTTACGTGTTTTTGCAATTTTGCTTCTTTCATGATGTGAGGCAAATACGAATTAAGGACAAGGTCCTTGTTTTTCTTGTGAAATGTCAGCTCAAAGGACCTGATTTCAGATTTTAGAGTGGAATTCATGTCCCTGGAATTATAGAAGTTTGTAGACTGTGTTTGTCTACAGAGCCAAATCCACTTGAATGTCTGTCCATTATAAACATCTGTCACCTGTTGGAATAAAACCTTGAGATTTTAAAAAAAAACATCGTCTTCACACGATCTATTACGTTAAATTATCATAAAGGTAAATTAAACGTGGAACCTTACTTGAACTCGTGAATACAATCGTTCTTCAAATCAAGACGTATGAATTTTAAAGAAAGGCGACTAATTTCACTATTCCAATGGTGGATTATTAGGAAAAAGAGTCATATGTCTGACAGACACGGACATTCAAAAATGTTGTTGTACCCGTGTTGGATCCTCTGCATAACTTTTCAAGAATCTGATGCATACCCGTCAATATTTTTGAAGAGTTTAGGCAACATAGCTTCCAGTTTAGACCAAACTCTTTATGATAACAAATAATATGACATGCAATTATCATTATATATATGTGCAAGACTTTACCTCCTCAGTATGTTCCATATCACATATGTCTAATGTGGAGAGTCTCTACATCAGACTACTTCTAGTCTAGGTGGAACCGACCCTAAAAAATGTTGTCACTTTTGTGTTGGATCCTCAAAAAAAAAAAAACTTTTGAAGGATCTGACACACACATCAATATTTTTTAAAGAGTCCAAGTAACAAATGGCTTCAAGTTTAGACCAAACCTTTTAAGATGACAAGTAACATGACATGCAATTTTATATGTGCAAGACATTACCTCCTCATTACGTTCCATGGCAATGTTGAAATTTTTCTCCTTCTCAGGCTTACTGATTTTAAGTCGATGGATGTTAGGTGACAACTTGCTGCCCAAATAGGTCTGAGCAGCTTCATAAATTTCATTATTGACAAGACCATCAAATTCGTCAATCACCATCGTTAGCTGATTTGAGAACTTGGTGAAAATGTTTCTAAGTCCAAAGAAGAGATATTCATGGAGTTCCCGGGGAATGTAGTCATGGAATATCGAACGAACCAACATGGCTGGCGCAGCAACAGAGCCTACTGTCGATAGAAAAGTCTTGGCCAAGGCCATTTTCGATTCTGCTGATGAAGATGACATATTTTTAAGGGTTCTTTTGGCTAGTGAATGTTAGTGTTATGCACCAAATGTGTGGAAAAAAAAATAGGAACCAATATATTGATGCAATTGCAATTGAGGAAAATGGTAAATTTATAGCAAAATCATGTGAAGAAAAGAAATAAAAAATAGAGTGAGAAATTGGCCAAAGAAAATTGGAAAAAATTGCACCAAGACTAACAATAGTGGTAGTTGGTATTGACTATGTAGACTTTGAAACTTTCCTATGTATGCCCACAAGAATTTCCTTATAGTTTACGTCTTTCGCCAATATTTTATATATTGGTTAAATAGGAGTATTATTTTTATGTGCTCTAGTAAATTTAGAACACTCTTAACGAAATTTTTTTACTTTACTACTATCATCATGACATGTTCCTATTTTTCCAATTCATAAAAGGTAATATAGGGAAAAATGCAAAGTCAACATGAACATAGGTTATTGGAAAATAAGCAATTAAATACTATATAGTATTTATTTTTCTCCGACTTGACTCTAAGTTGAATATTGGGTCTTTCTGAAGTGTAGATCGGGGTGTTAATTAAGGTAATTAAATACTATATAGTATTTAACGCGTTTGAATGAAGAAAATTAATCACCAGTCATATTTTGACCCGTCTAAAGTTTGGTTACGTCTTTATAAATAACGACATATTCAATGTAATTTCACAAAGTGAGGTAGTGACGGAGTCAGAATTTTAATAAGGGGGTTCAAAATCTGAAAAAATAAAGACACAAATTAAAGTAGTCGAAGGTAGTTCGACATCTACTATATATACCTAAAAAATTATTTTAACCATATATAAATAATATAATTTTGCGCCAAAGGGGGTTCGAATGAACCCCTGACTCAAAGGTGGCCCCGCCACTAATTAGTGGGGTCTGAGTTTTTATAATATGAAAATGAGTGGGGTATTGTTGGTCAGCATTTTAATATTATATTATATTCTACCTTGGAATGGCCACATTAACAATTTTAAGGAGAATTCACCATGGCTACAATTGTATCAAAACACACATTGATATTGAGATAACCAAATATTAACTTGTTCCCCGTGAAGGCTAACTTAACATCCATGAGTATTTTAGTACAAAGTGACTGATAGTTGAAGCACGAAACTCACAAAAAGGTGATAGGTTAGGTAGGTAAATAGAACAATAAATAGTTGAACAACGAAACAAGAGATTGAAGTTAGGCCTATCATTATGCAGAGTCAAAACACTGTAACTCAATTTACAGATCATATAAATCAGGGGAAAATTACCTCACTCAAAATTAGTCGGCCGGAAAATCAATTAGCTGAACGGAGCCAAATCGGACAATAATCAATTTGCTGGTGCTGCCGGTTTGATGACGAATTCGCCGCCGGTGGAGAAAACTATTTGGGTTTACAAGTCTGATTTTTGAGTATTAATAGTTAAATTTTGAAACTTTCTGATAGAGGACATTTAAGTAAAAATATTTATTATAATTGAGTAAACGTATATAATAACACTAGTACGTATTTTATTTATATAAAATAGTGCGAATATAAAGTAATATTCTCAAGGGGACATACAACTTAGTCGTTTAATTCAGATTAATTAATACGTACAAAATTATATAAACTATCTTCTAATCATATGATTAAGTGATAGGGATTCTCACAGTATAGTTCTCGTATAATATTGTACAATTTTACCAGATTATTATTTTTTTTTATTTATTTTATATAGATCAAATGAGGCGCTACACCGCGTGAAATTGGATTAGACAAACTTTTTTTTATGTGGATTTAACTACTTTCCCCATTTGGTAAGTCCATTTCTTCCTCTTTTTCTTTAATCTCATTTTCAACATTTTCCTTCTTCTCATCATCAGATTCCACTTGTGTTATTTCCACTTTCTTAGCCTTAACCTCTTCATTCTCTTTTATCTTTTTGTAAAGAAAATTAATCAACCCTTTAAGGGAATTCTCAACTTCATCTTCCTTCAACAATTGCTCTGCCACTTCTGCTGGTGTCACATTGGCTATGTCAATCAATTCCTCAATTTCTTTGAACAATTTATGATCTTTAATCCCTAAGTAATTGGTAGCAAGAAGTTTGAAGCCACAAGGTGTGCAATATGCCATGTGAATGTGCATGTCCATTCTACCAGGTCGCAACAATGCAGGGTCGAGTTTCTCTATGTGATTTGTTGTGAAAATTATGATTCTTTCGTCTCCACAACTCGACCATAATCCATCAATAAAATTCAGTAAACCTGATAATGTCACCTACAAAACAAAATGGAGTAGTCACGGAAAGTATAACGATACACTAATACCAAATCCAAATGTCCCATAAATTAAAATGGCAGAATACACAGCCAGACATTCAAGTTTGACCTCAGCTGATAAGTAAGCGCTCCAACTTTGAATATGCAAATTTAGACATCTCAACTCTTCTCCCATGTGTAGGCTGAACACTCCAACTTACACCGTCATCATCTAGACACCTCCAAATTTATGTGTCACGTCAGCACTATTGGGTGTCCATGAGACGCAGTAGAGACGAGTTGGAGTGTCTAGATGTGCACTACCAAAGTTGAAGTGCTTCCTTGCCAATTGAGGTGAAATTTGAGTGTATGCTTATGTATTACGCTATTTTACTAAAATACATAGCCCTTGTAACATCTGGCAATATGAAATAATTGAAGAGGCTTAGAATTGGAAATTTTCATTTTTGGAAAGAATTTTAAAGTTTTGGAAATTTTGGCTAAGTATGGAAAATGTGAATTTTTGGCCAACTTTGAACAGCCATAAATTCTAGCTCACGATGAGTTAGGTAGATTTCTAGTTATGGTTGCAAAGTTCGTGGAACGATCTTTCCAACGCCACTGAGTTTGCTCGATTCCGAGTTCGTATGAGTGAGATATGCCCTTTGAAAGTTGGGCAGTTGACAAGGAATTCCGTCCGGGAATCATTAAGGGCATTTTGGTCTTTTCCCTAGCCTTTTATTTTGGTTATATAAATGTGTTAGGCTGATCATTTTGATCAGTTCTACCATTTTAAAAGAAGTGAGAGTGAGGGTTTTGAGAGAAGAAGAAGAGAAGAAGAAGAGAAGAAGAAGAGAAGAAGAAGAGAAGAAGAAGAGAAGAAGAAGAGAAGAAGAAGAGAAGAAGAAGAGAAGAAGAAGAGAAGAAGAAGAGAAGAAGAAGAGAAGAAGAAGAGAAGAAGAAGAGAAGAAGAAGAGAAGAAGAAGAGAAGAAGAAGAGAAGAAGAAGAGAAGAAGAAGAGAAGAAGAAGAGAAGAAGAAGAGAAGAAGAAGAGAAGAAGAAGAGAAGAAGAAGAGAAGAAGAGGAGAAGAAGAAGAGGAAATCGAGGATATCAACAAGTTCCGTCAAGATCATCGTGGAATTTCGTCGGGGGTGATCCCTACCAAGGTATGTGAGCTTTTAGTGTTGGGTGATCCTTTCCCCCACACACCTAGCCCCTTTTACTTATCAAGAAAGGATTGGCTTTGTTGTTAAAGTTGTTAGTTGTTGTTGTTGTTGGAATTATTGTTGGTTGTGAGACATGAT